AAGCAGTGTTCAGTGTTTAGTATCTCAGAGGTAAGAGGTCAGACTAGTAAATAATGCAGAGTTTAGAGAAGAAAGCAACACAGAGCTAAGAATAGTAAGTAACAGAGAGGTCAGAGAAGTAAGTAACATAGATCTCAGGGGTCAAATAAGTAACACAGAGCTCAGAGTACTAAGTAATGCAGATATCAGAGTAGTAGGCAATGCAGAGTTCAGAGTAGTAAGTAAGGCAGAGCTCAGAGTACCAAGTACTGCAGAATTCAGAGGTCAGGGTAGTAAGTAATGTAGATCTCAGAGGTCAGAGAAGTAAGTAACACAGAGCTTAGAGCACTAAGTAATGCAGAGTTCAGTGTATTAAGCAATGCAGAGTTCAGAGTAGTAAGTAATGCAGATCTCAGAAAGTTACATAACACAGAGCATAGAGTAGTAATGCAGAGCTCAGAGTACAAATTAGTGCAGAGTTCAGAGTAGTAAGTAATGCAGATCTCAGAGGTCAGCAAGTTACATAACACAGAGCATAGAGTAGTGATGCAGAGCTCAGAGTACTACTCGAGATGTATTGCAGAGCTCAGAGTACAAATTAGTGCAGAGTTCAGAGTAGTAAGTAATGCAGATCTCAGAACGTTACATAACAGAGAGCATAGAGTAGTGATGCAGAGCTCAGAGTTCTAAGTAACACAGAGTAAAGAGCTCAGAGTAGTAAGTAATGCAAAGCTCAGAGAAGTAAGTAACACAGAGTCCAAAGTACAAAGTGACAGTGTTCAGGGGCAGGGGTGTAGCTACCATGGGGCGAGTGCCATGGCGAGCACAGAGCACCATTGGCAACAGTGGCAGCAGGCGGCCAACACATTTTCCCTGAAGCCACCCAACAGAAATAAATAAATAATAATAAAAAATAAATCCCCCCCCCGGCTCTGATCAGAGGTGAATAGTAACGCAAAGTGCAGGGGTCCAAACATTCCATACAGTATGAGTACATGTAGGTGTGTCACGTGATGTTAGTGTGGCTCCTCCCCTTCACCGCCTCGACCCTGGTACTCGGTGTCAGTAGTTGGTGGTGGCCGATGATTGGCAGGCAGGTCATAAGGGCCCTCACAAAGAGCACACCGAGCCACCACCTCCAACCACCATCAATAAGATCAGATCTTCTTCTGCACCATGTTACATGTCACCCTGGCATCTACCAAGTGCTCAGTACAAGGCCACACCCACTCCACCGGCAGTGGCTTGACTCCCTAATATTTATGGTAATGTCCCCCAGTGGAGCTCCCAGGAAAAAGGAATGGAATTGAAAGTTGCCGGGAACAGGGTTGCCAGGGATGTCCATTTACCAGGAACAGACCTCTCTAAACAGTGATTGCCCCGGGGATGGTAACCATACTTTAACATACGCTTGCCTTTAATGTTCACAATGAATTCACATCTTTCTGTTCACACTGATGTGTGTTTACACTTGCATATTAATATCACTGCAATGCAGTACAATGTGCTGTGTGTTGCCAGTGGCAACCTAGCACACATATACATCACGATCATACAGTGTGAACAAATGAATTGTGCTGCTTTTCTGTATAGGGCAGAACAGTGCTGTGCTGATGATTATGATACAAACGGTTCTATTAGTTGTGTATGGTGGAGCCCTGCAGGGTGCAGTGTGTATCGGAAGGAGGAGGATGATGATGGTCGTGTAGTAACTGTGCAGGGTACAGTGTATATGAAGGAGGAGGATGATGATGGCGTAGTAGCTTTGCAGGGTGCAGTGTATAGGAAGGAGGATGATGATGATGATCATGTAGTAGCTGTGCAGGTTGCAGAGTATAAGAAGGATGATGATATCATGTAGTAGCTGTGCAGTTTTTAGGAAGGAGGATGATGATGATGATCATGTAGTAGCTGTGCAGTTTTTAGGAAGGAGGATGATGATGATGATCATGTAGTAGCTGTGCAGTTTTTAGGAAGGAGGATGATGATGATGATCATGTAGTAGCTGTGCAGTTTTTAGGAAGGAGGATGATGATGATGATCATGTAGTAGCTGTGCAGGTTGCAGAGTATAAGAAGGATGATGATATCATGTAGTAGCTGTGCAGTGTTTAGGAAGGAGGATGATGACCATGTAGTAGCTGTGCAGTGTATAGGAAGGATGATGATATCATGTAGAGCTGTGCAGTTTTTAGGAAGGAGGATGATGGTCATGTAGTAGCTGTGCAGTGTATAGGAAGGAGGATGATGACCATGTAGTAGCTGTGCAGTGTATAGGAAGGATGATGATATCATGTAGTAGCTGTGCAGTGTATAGGAAGGATGATGATATCATGTAGTAGCTGTGCAGTTTTTAGGAAGGAGGATGATGGTCATGTAGTAGCTGTGCAGAGTGCAGTGTATAGGAAGGAAGATGATGATGAAGTAGCTGTGCAGGGTGCAGTGTATAGGAAGGAGGAGGATGATGATCCTGTATTAGCTGTGCACTGTATAGGAAGGAGGAGGAAGATGATGATGATGATCCTGTATTAGCTGTGCACTGTATAGGAAGGAGGAGGATGATGATGATCATGTAGCAGCTGTGCAGATTGCAGTGTATAGGAAGGAGGATGATGATGATCCTGTAGTAGCTGTGCACTGTATAGGAAGGAGGGTGATGATGATCCTGTATTAGCTGTGCACTGTATAGGAAGGATGATGATTATGATGATCATGTAGTAGCTGTGCAGGTTGCAGAGTATAAGAAGGATGATGATATCATGTAGTAGCTGTGCAGTTTTTAGGAAGGAGGATGATGGTCATGTAGTAGCTGTGCAGAGTGCAGTGTATAGGAAGGAAGATGATGATGAAGTAGCTGTGCAGGGTGCAGTGTATAGGAAGGAGGAGGATGATGATCCTGTATTAGCTGTGCACTGTATAGGAAGGAGGAGGAAGATGATGATGATGATCCTGTATTAGCTGTGCACTGTATAGGAAGGAGGAGGATGATGATGATCATGTAGCAGCTGTGCAGATTGCAGTGTATAGGAAGGAGGATGATGATGATCCTGTAGTAGCTGTGCACTGTATAGGAAGGAGGGTGATGATGATCCTGTATTAGCTGTGCACTGTATAGGAAGGAGGAGGATGATGATGATCATGTAGTAGCTGTGCAGATTGCAGTGTATAGGAAGGAAGATGATGATGATCCTGTACTAGCTGTGCACTGTATAGGAAGGAGGAGGATGATGATGATCCTGTAGTAGCTGTGCAGTGTATAGGAAGGAGGATGATGATCATGTAGTAGCTGTGCAGAGTACAGTGTATTGGGAGGAGGAGGATGATGATGATTATCCTGTAGTAGATGTGCAGTGTATAGGAAGGAGGATGATGATGATCCTGTAGTAGCTGTGCAGAGTGCAGTGTATAGGAAGGAGGATGATGATGATCCTGTAGTAGCTGTGCAGTGTATAGGAAGGAGGAGGATGATGATGATCCTGTAGTAGCTGTGCAGTGTATAGGCAGGAGGATGATGATCGTGTAGTAGCTGTGCAGTGTATAGGAAGGATTATGATGATCATGTAGTAGCTGTGCAGTGTATGGGAAGGAGGAGGATGATGATGATGATCGTGTAGTAGCTGTGCAGTGTATAGGAAGGATGATCATGTAGTAGCTGTGCAGTGTATAGGAAGAAGGATGATGATGATCGTGTAGTAGCTGTGCAGTGTATAGGAAGGATGATGATGATCGTGTAGTAGCTGTGCAGTGTATAGGAAGGATGATGATGATCGTTTAGTAGCTATGCACTGTATAGGAAGGAGGAGGAAGATGATCCTGTATTAGCTGTGCACTGCATAGGAAGGAGGAGGATGATGATGATCATGTAGCAGCTGTGCAGATTGCAGTGTATAGGAAGGAGGATGATGATGATCCTGTAGTAGCTGTGCAGTGTATAGGAAGGATGATGATGATCGTTTAGTAGCTATGCACTGTATAGGAAGGAGGAGGAAGATGATCCTGTATTAGCTGTGCACTGCATAGGAAGGAGGAGGATGATGATGATCCTGTAGTAGCTGTGCAGTGTATAGGAAGGATGATGATGATCGTTTAGTAGCTATGCACTGTATAGGAAGGAGGAGGAAGATGATCCTGTATTAGCTGTGCACTGCATAGGAAGGAGGAGGATGATGATGATCCTGTAGTAGCTGTGCAGTGTATAGGAAGGATGATGATGATCGTTTAGTAGCTATGCACTGTATAGGAAGGAGGAGGAAGATGATCCTGTATTAGCTGTGCACTGCATAGGAAGGAGGAGGATGATGATGATCCTGTAGTAGCTGTGCAGTGTATAGGAAGGATGATGATGATCGTTTAGTAGCTATGCACTGTATAGGAAGGAGGAGGAAGATGATCCTGTATTAGCTGTGCACTGCATAGGAAGGAGGAGGATGATGATGATCCTGTAGTAGCTGTGCAGTGTATAGGAAGGATGATCATGTAGTAGCTGTGCAGTGTATAGGAAGGATGATGATGATCGTGTAGTAGCTGTGCAGGGTGCAATTTATAGGAAGAAGGAGGATGAACATGTAGTAGCTGTGCAGTGTATAGGAAGAAGGATGACGATGATCGTATAGTAGCTGTGCAGTGTATAGGAAGGATGATGATGATCGTGTAGTAGCTGTGCAGGGTGCAATTTATAGTAAGAAGGAGGATGATCATGTAGTAGCTGTGCAGTGTATAGGAAGAAGGATGATGATGCTGATCCTGTAGTAGCTGTGCACGGTGGAGTCCTGCAGGGTGCAGTGTGTTGCTAGGAGGAAGCTGGCAGAGACGAGTCAGGTCTGCTCCCAGCATGCTCCGAGTGAGTGTGTGTAATAGACAGAGTGGAGAAATAGCAGCAGGGAGATAATGAAGCTAAGATGGCAGCAGTGAGTGTGCAGCGATCGAAGTGAAGCCGGCTGCCTATCGTATCCAATCTGCCTGGAGTTATATTCCTCCTCATCGATCCCGGGACGGTAGCGGCTTCTCTCGTACCCTCCGTGCGGGGAGGATGGTGAGGGGTTCGGGGCGTGGATTTGCTCTGGGATTGCGGTGATTCCGGGCTGTTCCGGGTGTGTAAGGGAGGAGACGGATCCACGCATCATCATCGGCCGCCGCCGCAGCAGCACCGGGTGGACGCGGGACGGAGCTGCTCCATGCTGGGGCTGGACTGACACGCCGACACCGTGTGATAACACCGAGGAAAATGATGTGCGCAGCAACCGCACCCCCTCCTCCACCCCCGGCTGCTACCTCGGGACCCGGGGGCAACGGCTTGTTCCCTGTGCCCCCGGCTTCCTGCATGGCGCCAATCAATATGTCTGGGGGCCAGGACGTCACCCCGGCTCCGCAGTCTGACTGCAGAAGCCGCTACCAGCTGCTGCTCTCCGGGAAGGCCCTGGCCGAGCGCTACCGGCAGATCTACACGGCTGCGGTGAATGACAGAGACCAGCAGGCTGGACAGAGCGCCAGGTAATGACACCCCCTCCCCCACCTTCCTGTATACAGGGGTGCAGGGAAGCCCCTTGTCTGTAGACATGGCACCACAATGTGGCTGACACCTGGACAGACAGGTCAAGATGGCTGTGCATGTAAATATGGGGTTGTCACAGGTGACAGGGAGCCCCGGGGTGACATGTGTCAGCGGTGCATAGAAGGACTGTGGTTTGCATGGAGGGAATGTTTGGATTAGGATTCCGGATGTCCTTGTTATCAGGATCAGGTGGATAGAACCTGGGAGCGGTCCAGGTATGCAGTGTATGATGGAAGGGTTAGACAATTTTCCACCGTCCATGCTAAATGACGTGGATGGAGGAATTTCCACCGCCGGCTTTTGTCTTTAGACAGCCGCCGACGGTGACTGCATCTGATAGGCTGTAGTCACTGTTCTGCTGAGAATTTTCCACCCGGCTCCATCTATGACTGGAATATCTGTCAATCCCTATTTGGATCAATTGGAATTGTTCAAAATCCAAGCCGTGTATAGTGCAGTCAGCATTACTTTCATCACTAGTGTCGCATGGGGGGCATTTGCACAAAAGTTAGCTGACATATAAGGTTCCTTGTCTGGCTGGTGCTTGACTGCCAATAATGTCATTAGGGATGCACTGGTACCAATAATTTTTTTTTTTGGTACTCGCCGATGCCCAGTGCCGTGTGCCCAAATTATCAGGAAGTCGGGCGGCAGATCATGACCTGTTGCCTGGCTTCCTGATTGCCTGTGAAGTCTGTATTCTAGCGAAAGAACACCAGCTTCAGAGTGTGCTTGGCTTCTTGACCAATCAGGAAGCCAGGTGGCGAGTCATGAGGTGCTGTCCGGCTTCCTGATTGGTCCGGAATCTTGGCTGCCTATAAACAAAGCTGGCCGGTATGTGCTTTCATAGTACCGAGTTCACAAAACCAATTGCTACATTTACTACAATAAAAGAAGATTTGCAGAAAATTACTCTCTGAACCAGATACACACCGCTGTGTAACAGTGTTATTGTTTAACAACAACAAATGGCTCAACTTCCAGGAAGGTCACATAGCTCCTCATGCACCATACATGAGGCCACCTGAGCTGATACAACACAAAGGAAAACTCCCTTGGCCTGCCACAAGTCGGGACCCCTGCCGGCTGGGGCCTCCTACGCTCGCCCCTTCCGGCTGGGGCCTCCAACGAAGCCGGGGGGTGGGTTATGACCAGCATCCCTGGTTTGCGTGGAAGCCGGCTTCACGTGTTGCTAAGCAGCCTGACTTCCTAACTAATCACGAAGCCAGGCTGCCTAAGAACAAGTGAAGCTGGCTTCCGAGCCAATCAGCCTGGCGGAAGGTCATGACCTGCTTCTTGATTGGCTAGGAAGCTGGCTTCACGTGTTGCTAAGCTGCCTGGTTGGTTCAGAGAGTAATTTTCTGCAAATCTTCTTTTATTGTAGTAAATGTAGCAATTGGTTTTGTGAACTCGGTACTATGAAAGCACATACCGGTAGTAGGACATCACATTGTATTACACAACTCAAAGCACATTTTCTTCTAGCAAAAATCGTTGTTGTGTATGTTTTTTTTTTATCAGTAGTCATGTGACTGCGCGTCCTTCCTCGTAGCGGGGGTGTGTCTACCAGTCAAGTGGGCAGATGCAGCGTGATGTCAAACACTGTGGGGGAATTTTGGATGAAGCATCATAAGAGAGCCCAGATCCCTACTCCGTTTTATTTGGCAACTCGGCTGATGTGTAAGCTACAAGCAACTGCAGATTTGCCAGTGAGGCTCCAGTTCAGACTTGCTGTCAATCAACCCTGCAGGGCTGGGAGGTGGCGTGTCCGCAAAACAGACTGCGGGAGTTGCAGACATACCGCATTGACGCCAATGCTGTAAATCCTAGGGATGCTAACTGACCACACCAGCACAGATCTGCTTCCATGCTACAAACTTGCAGATTCTCCAGGTGTTTAGCTAAAAACTTTACAGGGTACAATTAATCCAGAGCTGGACCAATCTCTGGAGCCAGGTGGACAATGCTGCTTAAAATTTATAACTGGCACCTAGTTGTCAATGGAACTGGCTCCTAAAAATAATTCCTGCTAGCTCCTGGATTGGACAGACTGGCTGCTGAGTTCCATATTAACGTGTCCACTCTTGATGTAATATGAACTTTATGTATATGAACACAACACGTATAATAGAGCTGCAGCTAACGATTATTTTCAAAATCGATTAGTTAGCCGATTATTAAGTTTGATTAATCGGTTAATCGGAAAAAAAAATACATTTTAAAAAATGGCTCCAGTGATGGGACTTCTAGTTTGTATTGAGATTGCAGTCCATCACAGGAGCAAGCTTGGAGCAGTAGAAGTAAAAAAGAAAAAAAAAAGTGTGGTGTACAATATAGTGAAATGAAAAGTGTAAAATTATACAGCAATGAATGCAGAATACCACCAGCTATAGAGGAATACAATAAATCCCAGCAATAGTACATTATAGCTGGCGGTATTCTGCATTGCAATGTATAATGTACTATTGCTGGGTGTTGTAGTCCTCTATAGCTGGTGGTATTCGGCATTGCACCACTGTATAATGTATTATTGCTGGGATTTGTTGTACTCCTCTATAGCTGGTGGTATTCCTTGATTTGTAGTCCTCTATACAGTGCAATGCAGAATACCACCGCCTATATAGGAGTACAACAAATCCCAGCAAAACATTATACATGCAGTGTACAATGTATTGCTGGGATTTGTATTCCTATATAGCTGATGGTACATTGCTCTGTATAATATACAGCACAATGTACCATCAGCTATAGAGGAATACATATCCCAGCAATACATTATAGAGCACCATGTGTGGGTGGGAGTGCAGGCTTACCTGAACAGTCTTCCAGCAACTTGTTTCTGAGATCGGGCCTGTCTATCGGCGGCTGTCATCCCCCCCACACCTGCTCCTCCTTACTTCTTCTCCCCGCGTCCCCGTGCCGATCGTGGATTTGGACGGGCGGTGAGCGTGAGGCGCGGAGGAGGTGCGGGAGCGTGGATGCGGGCAGGTCTGGCAGCGGCGAGCGTGAGGTGGGGGAGGAGGTGTGGCAAGCAGCGTGTGTTAAGCCGTGAACAGGGCCAACCAATCAGGAGCCGATTAATCGATTATTGAAAAAGTTGACAACTTTTTCAATAATCGATTATAATCGATTATGTCGATTAGTTGTTGCAGCCCTAACGTATAAGGAGTGTTATCTTTTGGGGTAACTTGCACATTAAAGAGGAACTTTACCCATATTTTTGAAATGACAACAAACGCACCTTTAGAAATGTCCAGTAATGATTATCTACAAACAGATAATTCTAGATAATTGCAGGCTTTGTACTCTTTGCATACCTTATTTTGAGGGATGCACCAAAATTTCAGCCGCTGAAACATTTTGGCCGAAAATGGTACTTTGGGCATAATACTGAAATGACCATAACGGCCAGAAATGCTGTGCATTCCTAACTTCTCTCCTCCCTGCTGGATGCCGGTCTGTGTCCTGTCCAATCCACGCTTCTCTCCCCCGCCCGTGTTGGCAGAGGCAACAGAGAACCGATGGGACAGAGGCTTGCATCCAGCAGGGAGGAGGGAAGGTTTCAGGGGGCGGGCCGAGTTGGGCGGAAACAGCTGTCACAGGCGTCAAGCTCTCCTCTCGCACCGTCCTGCTCGGCTCTTGTCACGTGGTGAGTTAGGATGCCGAGCGGTGTGGGGGATGAGTCAGCTGTTGCTGAGTGTTTGTAAATAATTGTGGCCATAGTATGCTTACTGTGTCCCAAGTAATGAATGAACAGGAAGTGCTCTAGATCACTTCCTGTTCATGATTGTGGACATAGTAACTGATAAATGGACAGGAACACTCAGTATACAGGCTTCCTGTTCATTTATAACAGGGGCTGCAGAAAAAGATTTAGGACTCTGTCGTCAGTTTCTTTTTTTTTTTTTCTATTTTAAAAGGGAAATATCAAGGGTCTGTTTAGACTCCTGATATTTCCCCAAAGCCCCCGACTGTAAAGTAAAACAAAAATTAAAAAAATGTAAAACGGGGGAACAAAAACGTCGGGTTTCTGCCTGACGACAAATTTTTTATTTTCGGTTTCGGTCTGAAAATTCCATTTTGGTGCATCTCTACTTATTTATCTTTTCTTCCTGAGTCTTCTAACGGTGGCCATTTCTGCAAAGGTCAGATGAATCCATCTTCCTTTACTTCCTGGAACTCTTGCACATGTGACTAGGACATGTGACCATGCACATCATCTCAGGGGAGGAAAATGCCTTTCCTGGAGATCTCATGAGATTACAGATTACATTTCCCAGCAATCCTCTGCAGGATGCAACACTTGGGCATGATTGCATAATTGGTGCTATAGAGACCCAGGAAGTGAAGAAAAAAAAAAGAAATTGTAAGGAAAATAAAAATGTTTGTTTAATGAATGTAAGAGGATTTCATATCAGCATGCAGAGCTGTATGCTGATGTGATTTTTAGTGAAAAGGGGTCAAGGTCCACGTTATGGTGAGTTCTGTGCCAGAGGTCGTGGACCTCAAGGATCATTCCACTAGCAGGATGAATGACCCAAAGGCTGCTTATAACTCTTGGGAACTCCAGCTGAGAAATCTCTGAACCTGAATACCCAAGTAAGTTATACCCACTTGTGCCCATTAAAGTGAAGGTACAATAATGCAAATGCCAGGTAACTGCACAGAACTCCACCAGTCCATAGAAGGTTGTTCTGCACTATGATCATCTTATTAAAAGCAAACAATAATAAACTCCATAGGGCTGGCAAAGCTGGGCCTGGCACCCAGATTCCTGCCCCTGGTCAGAGGCTATAACTGAGAAATAATACAGTATCTGAAACGCTAGTTTCCACGGTTAGCTTATTAGAAATATGTCATGGAAGGATGCCCATCAAGTTTACAGACCAGAAGGGAGATCTGGGAAAAAAGCAAGGGCCAGGGTTAAACTACCATAGAT